ATATATGTCTATATATTATGTATATATATATATATATATATATATATGTGTGTGTGTGTGTGTGTGTGTGCGTGTGCGTGAATGCATATGTACACACATATATATATTCATATATATATATATATATATATATATGGATATATATATATATATATATATATATATATTTGGATATATATATATATATATATTTATATATATATATACATCCATATATATATATATATATATATATATATATATATATATGTGTGTGTGTGTGTGTGTGTGTGTGTGTGTTTATTTGTATAGTATACTGAGTTTTCGCTCGTACATCCACACAGACCAATGTAAATTTACGTACAGATTTTGGTTCTTACCTATACCTTCCCATATGCTGTGTATAATTTATAATATTCTATTTATTCATCAATTTATTTAAATCTCAAACATGCCCTACACTTTGCACCACTACCCGTCTCGTCTGGTGCAGTCATGCATGACGAGAAGTCTCCACACCCAGCCTTTTAGCAAAGTAGTGACTCTTTCATCCGAGTACACAGAGTATGTTCGATATGCACCACAGAATATGCATCTTCCTCGCATTGACTCGTGGGTTGAATGCAATGAAATCCCACCATTGTAGTACCAGGCCTTAGCTCATTGAATCGTTTGTATTGCAACAGGGTAATAAAAAATCTCGAAAGGATTTGCGAAAGGCGGCCAAGACAGAGAAGAAGGAGAATGCACGACTTCATCACATTCGTAATAAGACTGCCCATGGACAGCAAGTCATGGAGACAGCCAAGCGCGTCGCCGTAGAAAAAGAGAGGGAAAAGGTAGGTCACGAAAAAAAAATTATGTTGCCACTCATAAACCGCCCCGATGAAGCTACAACGTACGATTATGTTGTAAATCTCAGTAGTATATACCGATTTCACATAGGGATAATATTATCTATTTCAAATTGGGTAGTATGTTGGCCTAGATATACCTTTCCATTACTTGAATCCGACTGTGAATTTGCGTCCTAATGAGTTTGTGGTCGAATCCGCGTTTTAATCTCGATCGAATGTTCTTGAGCAGCAAGCAACGGAATTCGAAGAACTAGACAAAAAGCTTAAAACGGAGAAAAAGGCTGCAGAACTGAAGAGGAAACCCAGAGTTACTTGGGACCTGCCCGCGGACACAGAATCGCCGAAAAAGAAGCGGAAATTACAGTTGAGGTATATCCTCTCATGGGTTTTTTTATAGTATTGCTGTGAATTTAATTAACGAATCGCCGTGCAGAATTTTTTTGTACGTTGTTTCTAATTGTGTATTTCAATTCAATAGCACAACGCACACTGAAATCGAGGACGAGGACAAGAATGATGAAGACGTACAAATGATGAAGGACATGGCGAAAAACCTTGGTTTTACACATGGCGGATCATTGCCCAAGGGCTTTGCAGAGGATGGCCTAGATTGTATGTTTTGTATAAAAATTATAAACAGAAAATCTCACTTTAAGCTTCCCGGTGCTCTCGCCCTATCACTTGTTACTTGTATGAAAAGCTACTCGCACGTCCGCTCGAAGCACGTTCTTCTGCCGGCATGAAGGTTTGGGGCGTTTGTAAATTTGCGAACCAGGCTTTGAATGACTAAGTTGTCGATATGTCTTATTACACACTAGGGCTTATGAATGGTGGTGGTTCGGATGAGGACGAGAAGGGTGCTGACTACAACAACGATCTGGATGACGACATCAGCAAGCGCGAAGATGATGCAGATAGCCAGGATAAAGGGGGCGACAGCGACGCAGTAGATGCTAATGAAGCATCCCAGGCGAATGCGCAAAGTGGTAGGCAGCACTACAATGGACCGATGCCTTATGGCGTGTCTATGTCTGCTCTTTTCTTGTCTTGATTTTTGTCGAATGCGGGATTTGTGCCTGTATTACTACTTGATACCATCATATAGAACAAGATTCTGTCTGTGCCTAGCACTTCACAATCCAGCGACTAGTCGTGCTATGACCGAAAGCTCGACTGGAATATGATCTATTCATTTCGTCGATCGATGATAGAGTATGGTATTATATACTGGTATCCGACGGGATGGAATATAGAGGCGATGTGTTGTATAAAGCATGATCATCTAGTGTGATTAACAAGTCTACCCCTTGATTATTTTCTACAATCCAATACATATATACAGCGAAGAAGCTACAGAACATCACTGTTGCGAAGAATGATCCAAATTCAAACTTTTTTCAAATGTTGAGCGATTCGAAACTTGTAACTCTTTCTGGGGAGGGTGTAGACGAAAGAAAGTCGACGAAGAGGAAAGAGGACGTCTTAAATTCAGAAGTGTGTGTCAAAATTTACGAATAACCGTATGCTTTCAAGTGTCGATTTGTACACTTCTTTAGACTATTTGCCACGTATCGCGTGTTGGTGATGATTTCATTCCATATTGCCCTATCACATCAGGATGAGGATGACAGAATAATCCGGGAAATGGAGAAGAAACTGGGTATCAAAAATAAAGAAGGCAGCAAACTACCGACGAAATTTAAGGAAGAAGGTCTATCGTATATACTATACGGGTCTGATGAAGACGAATACCTGGACGATGTTAGTGAAGAGGAGAGCGCGGCTAGTGAAGGTGAGTTGAATATTTTGACCGCTTATCATGGCCTATGTGCAGTATGAGCAAAATGATGTGTATGCACCTATAGATGAGATGACCTAGTCATCGGCAAGCGATTTTTACCAATTCCGACGAGGTGGCTCATGTGATTACAAATTACGCTCATACGACCCTAAGCTCATACGACAACAACCCACATTCAAACACCTAGATAAGCCAAGACAATATTCCTATTTTTTTGGTCATATGCTTGATTTCTTCTACATAGCTGAGAATGAAGAGCAATTCGGGGACGATGATGACGTGGAGGAAATAGTTGAAGATCCCTCAGCCCAGGTGAATGACAATAAGTCATCAGAGGAGAACTCTGGTTCTGACGCCTCAGAAGATGAGAAAGAAGATGTCTCGGAAGCTGACAATGCAGACGAAACCTCAACGGCGATTCCTGAAGCTGTGGCAGGTAAAAACGTGCTACATATAGTTGACGAGGTTGCTCATGTTTATTCGTTTTTTGGATATCTATATCCATTTCAGGCGGCGCAAGGAGAGATTTTGTGATTTAGCTTTTTAATCTTGCTCGTTTAACACTTTGCAAATGCAGAGTCAGCGCCGTCAAAGTATGTCCCGCCGCATTTGAGGAAAAAGCAAAGCAACGAGAAACTAATCCAACTGCAACGGAAAGTGAAAGGTATTAAAATATTGATACATTGTTTAAAAATTATTTAAACCCGAACAATGACATTATGCAAATCGGAAATACATTCTCAGTCGGGTTCTCTGTCCATCGGATCGGTAGTCACACTTGGTACTTGCAAATTTTTGAAAATATAGCGTGTGCTGAGTCGTGAGCTTCGTCTCCTCCCATCATCCAGGACAACTTAATCGACTGAACGACACTACTTTTACGACAACTGTGAATGAAATTGAGAAGCTATATTCGGTCTCTGCTCGAAGGTAAGAGTGCCCGCCATTTATTTTGCTATACATATGGAGCGGAAGGACTTGTTCCTATCCTAGAGTTTGATCGAGGACATTGCTAATGAGTCTGTTGATCACATGCAGGGATATGCACGACACAATCACAGAACTGATGTTGGAAGCTCTGAGATTTGAAAGTCGTCACTCTGATCGCCTGATGGTTACGTACGGTTCCTTCGTTGCTGCTGTCCATGGTATGTGACTTAACATGTTGATGCGTGCCTATCTTACTCAAACCTCTCTGTATATGGCGATATGTCATTTTATGGCATGACTGCTAAGCTGCAGTTTAAACAGGGTATCTGCACTGATCATATCGCCGATCCGGCGCTTCGATCCGGGTTGTACGGCAACCGCGCGTTAAGTCAATTCTAACCTTTTCGTTTCCCTGGCGTGCTCTCCCTTTCATCTTCTGCAGGTGTTGTTGGCATCGAATTTGGAGCTTGCTTCATTGCCGCGCTCGTCGAGAAGTTTGAAACTTGCTATGTACAAGTGAAAGACAGTGATCCGTCCGAGCAGTCGACCAAAGAGCCCGCTAATTTAATGTCCATGCTGGCGTATCTGTATCTCTTCAAGGTACGCTGCAGCTTCAAATTTACTTTCTGCTCTCTAATCTGAGCTCTAATGGATATTATTTGCGAGGCTTTCGTGCAGTGGTTTGTGTTCTTTTTGTGATTAATGAGATGTGCATGCTCTTCTGCCCCAAATGTATCTCTTCCGCATTTGGCAAGTTCGTTCTGTACAATCTGCATCTGCTCGAGGTATAATATGGTTGTGACTGGTTTATTCGTACCACAACAAGGCATGCTCGCATATGAGTGGGTGCGCAAGCTATGCGTGAATCCCTGTGGTATTCAAGGGCCACTACATTTGGGATTTCCCCTTAAAAGTTTTGTAAAAGTTTTGTCTTTTTCTCTTTAGAGTGATCTTGCGTGATTTCGCTGCGTGCTTATAAGTTACTCCGTGGGTGCTTTGTAGTTTCTCTCTGTCACTGTACATTGCGTTGAATTTCATGCCCATACCCCTTCATTTTTGGTCATTGTTTTACAAAAAAACCATATACTGAATTCAGATTGATTGTATGATTGTGTTGTCCTTCGCAGGTGGTATCCCATCGCATAGTCTTTGACTACTTATCAATTTTCATTGAGAGCTTTAGCGAATTAGATGTGGAGCTGGTGTTGCACTTCCTGAAAATTGTGGGCCGCAATCTCCGAGAGGACGATCCAGGACTGTTGAAAGAGCTGATTCTCAATGTACATGAGAAGGCGAGACGCAGAAACGCTGATGGCGACGCGGCAGAGCGCAAAGGCACGCGTGTGCAGTTTATGGTTGAAATGATCAATGATCTGAAGAACAACCGCATGCGTGGCGTTGTGAATGACGAGGTCGCGCACTTGATCACCACGTTGAAGGGTAATTTGCGAGACATCGGCAAGACTAGGTAAGAAGTGCTCTGATTCTCCAGTTGTCTTCATTCCGGGTATCAGTTTTAAAGTGAAGGTTTGTTTCTTGTTGGCGTCTCAGATATATGACCTTCCAATGTACACACCAGGGATAACACTAGTAGCGCTGGTGGACGCAACATGTTGACAGTAGGTCGTGACGATCTGCTAAATGCCCATGAAAAGGGACGGTGGTGGCTCGTGGGAACTGCCTGGACTGGCAAAGGTAATGTGAATTTTTTTCTGTGTACGTGTATATTATACAGGGTATGGGAGTGTACTCCTAGGGAGAGGTCTTGTTATATTAGGAAATAAGTGACATAGCTTTTCTCAATAGCTTGGAGTGGAGGCTATACCCCGGTGTATAAGAATAAGGAGTGGCCCCCTCCCGCCTATACACACACACCCGTACCTCTACGAGTAGACCTATAGGAAGTCAGGGGAGGCAAGGCTACTTTCACGGGGGCAGGATGTAGTATTTTATTCCATCAGAGGGGTAGTAATTTTTTGGTGGGGATTCATCAGGGCACTATAGGTGATATAGCTTACAATACTCAATCAAGACTATGCCTCCACTAGGTATATTAGTGGAACCCTCGTTAAACACTGTAGTACTTAATTAATTCTCATGCACCATAACATGCATGCTAACCCTCGGCTATAGACTAGTACCTTATAAAATTTAGAAAAAATCTTGGCGAAAATGTTTTCTGGGTAATTAGTTGCCCTGCTTATCATTTTAGTCGCTCTCGCGGATGTGTTGGGATTGTTCCAGCTGTATGATTATATTCGACATTATAGCCCAAATGCTTGCGGGCATTCCGGTCGGATACTTCATCTGATGTGCATATCAGCACACAATGCGCATAAACCGATTGCCATGCATCTCTTAGATTTTCAACCAGAAAACTTAATACGTGTTCCTACAAAGCATACCATCTGTTGCGATTACACGTCTTTTTTCTGCCACGGGTATAGGGGAAGCTCCTGCACGCGAGTCTACACTACTCCAATCAAGCGGAACGATGGATGGATCAAGTGTGGAGACCACGAAACTGCTAGAGCTAGCACGTGCACAACGGATGAATACTGATGTCCGACGTAGTATTTTCTGTGTTGTGATGGGGAGTGTAGACTACCTGGATGCATTCGAGAAGCTACTCAGGCTGGGACTGAAGGACAAACAGGTGAGTCAGTACACCAACCCTAGCCCTAGACATATTGCTATTCGAATTTAGCTCCTGGAGCTTGTCGCTTCGGTGCTTATATTATATATTAAATCTATCTGCGAATACACACATGGCCTGCTATACATGTATATTGAAGTAGAAGTATCTGTGTATTATCGTTGAATATGTTTTGATGTATTCTTCAGTGAGATGGCCTACTGACACTCGTGTCCTGTATCGCTGCTTTGCAGGAACGAGAGATCGTGAAGGTCATCATCGAATGCTGCATGCAAGAGAAGGTGTACAACCCATACTACGCCTACCTTTCCTCGAAGTTCTGTCACTTCAACTACAATTATAAGTTCACATTCCAATATAGTTTCTGGGATCGCTTCAAGGATATGGAAACTTTGAGCCCAAGGTATGGTTTTATCCACTGTATATGTGAGTTGCAGGCTAAGAGTGTTAGTGATGTTTACGGACTGACGGTTCAAATTTTAAACAGTGTATATTCATTGATGTTTCGTCTCTGTCTGATTTTAATCACAACCTTAACTCTTTACACATGAAGGGCTATGCTCAACTTGGCGAGGCTTCTGGTGCATTTATTCAATAATCACGCGTTATCGTTGGCTATACTGAAAGTGGTATCGTTCACAAATCTCGACATCTACTCGGTCAACTTTTTCCGGACGGTGTTCACGAAGCTACTACTTGAGAACGATGAAGCTGCAAGTAAGTTCGTGTCTCCTTCTCGAGCGTTTATGAGTGAAGTTTTTTATGGGGCGGTGAATGGAGCTCTTGCGTTGGAATGATCTACCAAAATTCACTGTTTTTCGATCCATCGACTGCTTGCCTTTGCGATTCTGAGAACACTCTTACACTCAAATTTAGCTTGGATCGTATTCGTCGGCGGACATATAACTGATGCATTAATTCTCCCACTGCAGTCCGAGTTCTTTTCAAGCGGCTCTCGGGTATCGCTGGTATCGAACATCTAAAGGAGGGCATCAATGTATTTCTCTCGCACTTTGTACTCAAGGTATGTTCAAAGGAACGATGATTGCTGATTTCTGTATGCTCGTATCTCGATGTTTCTTCAACTTTTGCCGAATATATGGAATTATATAAATCAGTACATATTAAAGTTGTAACTCATTCCCTGCATAACATATATACGCCAGGCCACGAAGGATCCAGAGAAACGTACAACCCTGAAGAAGAGGATTGCCTTGGTCAAAACAACCATGCGCGAAACTACAATAGGGTAGTTGCTGACACTAGTCCGACATAATCTGGAGAATCTAATAAAGATACGAATGAGCGCACACTAACAGTCAGTTGTACGCTAACCAACTGTATCCTCTACGATTCGGGATAAATAGGGTAGCTAAAATTCGCTCTAGTCTCATAAAAACTGCGATGGAAGTTTTTTTTTTGGCACGGATTTGCTTTTTTTTTTAGATACAAAACACGGCGATGTTTGTATGTACATTCAAAAAATCTCTTAACCGTCCAAACAGTATCTCGATCTATTGGTGGACAGTTTCAGATGCATTGCTATTCTAACACCGTTCAGCCGAAGCGGTGATCAGTCTTGCCTGCCTGCCTATTATTCAACAGTGTATACAAAAGGATCTGAATTGTTCTACTATATCAGAAAATCTTATAAATATATATATATATATATTGTGTGCGTTGTTTACTGCCTTGCTGTTGGCATCCAATAATCATTCCGAGAGGACGAGTTATTCCTCAGTGGAAAAAGAAAACTCCGTATAGCTGTAGAACAAAATGTACAGGTGTGTGTAGAAGCAGCGTGCTGAATACGTACTTTTAAAACGCTCAAGTGGTTGCTAGAAAATGTACCGTAGGAAAACATTCCTTTATTTGGAACGCAATCGACCACACCTAGCCTTGCATGCCAGCATCAGTGTTTTAATCACTTACTCGGGCTCCCATTGCAGATGCGACTGTACACATACTACCACACAGATGTTTCTAGTCTTCGTTTAACCAGCGCTTAGCGGATATGCAGTGGTTCGAAAGGCAGCATATATCATTCAGTACTAAAGGAGTGCCGAGCATCCCGTCCGCCTATAGTGGCTATGTTTTAACCAACTGAGGTGGCCTACCATACACTGACCGCATTCCATCTGAGCGTGAAGTTGTCACACTTGACGATAAATGCATGATCACTCTCCAAATAAATATCTACAACGAATACTGATGCACTCCAAACTTCACCCACTACCTGCTTAATGTGCACTCTATTGTAGCATAGCAATCACGGTTTACAGGTGTGTCCGCGTGATTGTAAATCTATATAAATCTCAATTGATATCACCGGAACTCTCCCACGCAAATCTTTATGCGCGAACTGGCCCTCATCGATAACTTCGGATTAAACTTAGCCCACACAAACACACATCCAAAGATGCGAGGTATCGCGAATTTCATCGATGCCATACTAGAATGCGATTTCTTAACTTGTCGCAATAGCTCACAGAATAGTGTACAGTGCCCCTTCTCCTCGCAGCAATACAGCACAATTCCGGAAACTTGAATATAAATACTTAATATCCCGGCAATCAAAAACTTCCTTGCACGTTTCCGAGCCCTTCCTCAACTCCTGATGGTGATTCGCTATTTCCTCCTACACATTCTCAGTACTCATAATCTACAGATGCAAAACATCAAGTTTCCCTACTCCTTACCTAATTTTGAAACCCACACATACCGAATGCGATCGCAACATTACAGAAGATCCAAACAAGCAGACAACCTCCTCTATTCTGCACTACAACCTCTGACGATATTTGGGCCACCAAACCCTAAAACAACTTACTCCTCATCTCAATAAGCCTTATGATAAGTGAGCTGAAAAGCACACAGCAATATTTCCTCAAAGCTTTTCACCATGTCGATACTCTCACTCGCTTCGTTAAAACCCAGAATACACATTATTAATGACACCCAAAACACGCAATTATGACAGGAACAAAAAATGTACACACATACACAGCCAAAAAGTGCTCTAATCGACGACCATTGACGGAAAGTCTTTATTCACCTTCTAGATTTATATACACCGTTCCGAGGGTTTAGACTCTGGATGGGTACAACATCTGCAAATAAACAAAAAATGCGCAGTGTTAATTATGAAAGCGTATCAAGTCATAGGACTACAACCCCTAATCATTGCAAGCTGTGTAGGCCATATATCACATACGAGGTAGACACGAATCTAGTATTAATAGAACATTATATGCGTACTCCGTTAAGCCTCGCAACAATTGAGATATAGTGCGCACAAGTACAATCATATTGTTGTTCACTATCAGTATACATAATTGAATGATTGCCAATTCAAATTCAAGAGTGCGTTCCGGTACTTCGTGTACCAGAGTTCCACTAGTCTATGATATGCCATATATAAATACCAGACTATATACGTCAAAAGCACCGTGCAGGGCGAGACGAAGATCCCCGACAATCAGATATACAACCTCTACCAAACCACATATATGATAATAAACCCTAACAAACCGCATATACATACCACACCCTAACAAACTGCATATACATACCACACGACACGAGGCGGACATGGTCTGAGGGGGAAGAGGGTTGGTGAACTTAGCGCGTACAGTGCCGATGTTTCCGTGGGATCGGGTGACCTTGCCCCAGATAACACGGTAGCGTGTGTCCTGTCCGGTGGAACGGTTCTTCGTGTGGCTCTTGGCTTTGTACACGTAGGCGATCTTCTTGCCGAAGTAGAACTCGGCGCTCTCCTTGGTGTTCACACCTTTAGGTTTTGTATGCGAAGATACATGGGGGTTGAATACCAGTGAATACTAATTCTATAAACGAATAACGTTTATCCGAGCCAGTTCAATTGATGCAGTTAGTCTAAATCATATTAGCCTCAGTGAAATAGTGTGTCAAGATTGAAAGTATCCACGACATGTAGGTGAATATTCGCATATACATTGCATGTTCTGAGCGGCTATACTATCGACAATAGTGTGAATCATCCAGTACAAATACAATACAACTGTTCACATTGAAGAATTGTCCAGAACACACAACATATTGGTTGCACATTTTTACAACTCATTAGCCCACAGTTTCAATTAAAACATGAAAAACATACCCTCAATTTTGATGAGCGAAGTGTGGGTCTTCTGCATGCGCTGTCCACGCTTGAAGCCCATAATCTTCGCCTTGGCGTATAATCTGATGTAGCGCAATAACAAATCAGAAAGTCGGTAGTGAGTAACTAAAGCAATATGCCAGCGTACCGAATAATGCAGTTATCTTACAAGCTGATGCGCTTATGAACTAAATCTGGTATACAGTGAGCAACTAGACCAGCATCGAGCATAGGTCATTTTCATGGCGGAAGTCTATAACTATGTATAGCGGTCAAATCATAGACGTGCGTTTCTGTCTCCATCCAACTATTCTGCTTGAGACCAGAAAGGCTCCATTTTGAAACGCTTTTCAACTCGATCAATAAATATGTGAGATGTGTGTAGTTGGTGTTGATGTAGTAGGTGTTGATGTGGTCATGGCGCTCATCCCCCATGTAGAGCTACTTGTAGTGAGTTTCCGTTTGTCGGTTTCCACAACTATACAATAGCTCATGCACTCCCATTGCTGTATCCTCCGATCTCTATATTTGTTGATGAATATCCTATTTTGATTGCCTATTTTGCTATACATGGTTGTTTCGCTTCCATATTCCCTTCTCGGGGGACTTCTTTGGGTAATGTAGGCATCTCATAATCCTTCGGATCTTTCATTTTGTTTGTTTGCTGATATCATGTTGATTCGTTGTGCAAAGTGCCTATTTTTCACTAACTTAGCCCGCATGCGTCCCATGAGTATGTGCGTTTGTGATAAATATGCATATACGCACACACAGCATAGTCTGGTATGATCTCAAAATGTCTATTAACTACGGATGTATGCACGTATGACGTACCTGCAAGGTTCCGGCATGATTCACACAAAGATACTACTGCAAAATAGCACGGTGTATCTACTAATGGTGAGAAAGAACGTTCAATTGCGTATCTGTCGCAGTTTTACATTATTAATCCACGGCCCAGCACGAGGGCCATGTGGCTCCTCAGTGACAGTATATTCAGGTCTCAAATTTTTGGAAAGTTTTGTTAGAATTTATTCAAAACCCCGACACCAAAAAAAACATGGTTTTGTGTGCTCTGGTAAGAGGTTTACGTTTAGAATTGCGATAATTTACAACATTGATCATGTGTTGTTTATTGATTCGGTATACTCAATTGTGATCCGAATTCACAGTTCGAGTCTGAATATATTTACAACATTATTCGATGTTTTTATCGCATACTGATTTCTAACAAAGATAAACCACTATACTATTGTTGTTTGTGTTATGTTTCTGTTATAAAATAAACCATACGATCGTCCCAAGTTAGGATAAAGTATTAGGCCTCTAAAAGGCACCCTATCAGCAGTGCCTATGCAGTCTTTTCCAAAGCAAGCAGAATAGCCATTTTCATAAAACCGATATGGATGCCAAATTCGCATTTCCGAAACACCTCGTACAAATGAACAGTTGAACACCAAAAGTAGATATATATTGTCGTTTTGCAGTATAAGTTATATAGCTATATAGGTTCGAGAGTGAGCATCTCGTATTACCGACACAACAACTCCCCTTCGACGTTCGTTCTATTAGGTTAGTATGTATTTCGCAACCTTGTCTCTTCGTATGTGGCCCACCTAAAGTTGTATGATTCACGGTAGTGGACCGTACAACTGCGTCATTATTCCAGCTCACATTTGTATCATCTGTGCGACGTGAATACCACTATAGTGTAACTACATGTACAGGCATACTAGACATTTCTGTTATTTTTAGTTCGCAAACACTCGTCGAATAGACTACAAGGGGAAATAGCGACGCCGTGTATATGTATATGTATATATATATATATATATATACGCGCGCGTGTGTGTGAGTGTGTGTGTGTGTTTAGTGGTCCGCTTGCGTACATATATGTTGGTTGAGATCGTCTTCTTCCAAAATTCGCATACAAGTTGGTTCACCCGAACCTAAGTGGAAAAGCCAGCACACTGATCGGTTGTATATTGTTCTCACTTCTAGTATAAAACTAGTGGACGCTTTCATACGTGTATGCTATAAAACCTCGATTTGCGGTAACCTACGCATAAATATCACACTCTTCTCCAGCTTGTCTCACGTTTCAACCGTTTGTTAAAACGTGAACATATATATATCGAAGTGTGAATGCGTACAAGCATCAAAAAAAATATAAATAGTATGAAAGTATATAAATAGATTTAACACATCGGTGTTTGTTGTTTATGGGGGTTTTCATACATATTGATGAAATCGAATTCGCAAACTACCTTCGCGAGACCGTACAATCAAGTGCACATTCTAGTAATATCTATAAGCTAAGGCACATTACTATTCGCCTTTCTTCAATTAAGCCTTTGCTACCTTTTCTGTGCCACAGTTCCACCATGGCCGCACCAGCGAAGATTGGGCGCCAGTTCGACTTCAGCAAACTTCTCAAAGCGGTACGTGGTTCCACTGAATTTAAATTTAGTTCACGGTACTTTGTTTCTGCTTGTGTATGTAAGGTTACTTGTTTCTTTCGTCAGACGAGTGTAGGAGGGGTCAAATAGTGTAGCATGTTGTTGCTGCCTCGTCTCTGAGAAGGGAATATTATTGCAGATGGAAGAAAAGCTGCAGGATTGCTTCGGCATATGTACATCATAAGCTTTATGGATTGAGTTCTAGGTAATCGACATGACGCCTCTTCTGCTCGCTAGTTATACTATGAGTCTCATCAATTACCTTTGTCTGTATAGATGAACATTAATCATCGCCGAATCTTTTTTCAGTTGGGACCTTCGTGGCTATTTATATTATGTATTGCAGTATTCGCCTGTGTCTTCACGTATTAACACTAACATCCATCTAATCTTCTTTCAGTTGGGTCCCGAGTTGAAGGATGGAGTCGGCCGTCTAGCCGGTCAGCACGCTTCTGCCAAGGAGAACCTGAGCAAATTGACTGCACAGCCGCCAAAGATTGACTGGGCCTTCTACAGAAGCAATGTCTCGTAAGTCTGAGGCTTATGTCTGTATGTGGTTATCACACGATCACTTGCCGGCACGTCTATTTATTGTTAATGTTTCTGTTTTGTATACAAACTGCGATAGATACGTAGAAATGCGCGTATAGCGACCACAATCCGACCCTGCAAGTCTGAGATATGATTAGATTCCACTGGTTTTATACCAGTCTGCCTTTGTACGACACCACGGGCGTATGCAGATACAGACGACTTCATAGTGAGGCATCCCATCGTTTGTACACTATGGGGTCTTGAAGTGTTTATATATATATACATTCATACCGTATTGTTTTACGGTGATTTACTTTTGTAGGTCTTAATCATGTATATTGTTAATGTCAACCTCATTCGAAAGATTTTTTTTTCATCGAGCTTTTCTTCCCTACAAATAACGGAACTGGCTGTAGACCTCTCATTTAAATTTTAGTGAAGTATACTTGTCTACGTAGGTGGGAGCGTAGCTTATTGCAGCATAGGCTAATAAATTTGGAAGCCAGTCTGGGATTCGGTTCTTTCAAGAATCTTCTATGTCAGTCATATTGTATGTATGTGTATATTTATTTTGACGTGTAGTTTCGTTCACATCAGGGCCTAGTCCTTACTACTTTTCTCTTCATAATTTTTGTCACGTCGCACACCGTTAAACGGATTGTCTCTGCACCACATCCAAACTAATAGAGAAACTTATACAAGCAAGATGTGATTTGGGTGCGTAGTTTGATGGTCTTATGTTTACCATGGGTAGCTGACATCCCCAAAGGCATTTGCCGCACTTCGAAATCATACTTCTACGCAAGTCGGTATATCAATCGATTCAACATTTATGTAACTATTTCCTTCTCCCCGCCTGCCATATTTTTTTTTCCTGATCGAGCGTTGCTAATATTTTATTTCCCTCTTTACGTTGCAGAACTCCCGGTCTTGTCGATGCTGCTGAGAAGGCTTACAACTCATTTAAGTACCCCAAGCCCGAAGACACCAAATCCGAAGCCCACAAGGTTCGCAGAACCGACATGGTATGTACTGGGATGGCCTTGTGAAATATGTGGGCATATGCTCTGCGCTTGGTAGTGATGGGGTTTATGCTATCGCAATCTCGAGATTTTCTGGAAGGCAGATGGTGTCTGTTATTCTGGATTTACGGTTACTCGAGTCTCGCCCGTATTTATTTCTATATTTCTTCAAATACCCTGATCTAAGTTATTTATTTTGTGCTTTCCTTCTTTAGGCCAAGAAAGCTGAAGCTGCCGCCATCAATGCCGACAAGCGCCTGAAAGATCTTGGTAAGAATTTCTTGGCATCTGTCGAGTATTTGTTCATTTTTATTTTATTTTTAAATTCGACGCCGTGTTTTATACAACAACTTGATTTATCTATGATATTAGTACAGAGGCTTTAGTAAATTTTGTGTGCTTGGCGACATGCATCTGAAATACTCTTATTGTTCTGCGCTTTAGAACGGCAATTGGCCGCCCTTAAGGCTGAGAAGGATCTTGCTTCTGTTACCGTTGCCGAGGCGCTAGCTGCCAACCCCAAGTGGGCCAAGGAGATCGAGGAGGACCTTAGAAACGAGAAGTGGGTCCCATAGGAAAATATCTACACGGATCACCATCCAGTACAGTAAAGTTTCCTCCCCGTTCCACATCGTGTATCACTTGCCAAAAGTATATACCACCAAATTGCATCTTGGTGTTGATTTGGCGGTGTTGAATTCGACAATGACAGAAATAAAGCATGAATGATTCGCGATCGGAGGAAAAAAATTGGGAGAGTCTAGACAAATTCAGAGTTTCGTGGCCTCGCTTGAGTATATAAATTGTTTCTAAGGACAAATTATTAAATGTGCTCATTTAGGTATTTTGAGGTACATACGGGATGTATTTCTCCACATCTCTATTGACTATATGACTGTGCTCTTGATCACTATATCTATTTATTTATATTTACATATCATATATACATGTATTATGCATATATTCAATTATACGAATGTGCTGATGTCTGATTGCATGTATGTATGTGATTATCTGTATTTATCTAAATACATTTTAATATTTGTAAACATACATATATTTATACGTATGCATGCAGAATTTACTTCTTTACCCCTATCTTTATATTTATATGCACATTTAAATATCTGTATCTGTCTATATATATCTTTATCTTTCGTATATGTATTCATGTGTGTATGTATATGTTTATGTTTATGTCTATATATGTATGTGTGTGTGTATGTATATAAGTAAACATATGTATATATATATCTGTATATATACTTTTATATATATATATATGTGTGTGTGTGTATGTATGTATGCATATATGTATGGATGTATGTATTTATGTTTATATAAATGTATATATGATCTGTAACTGCTATCAAGACTCTCAGTTTTTAAGACCTCACCCTCTCCGAATGTATGTATTTATGTTTATATAAATGTATAAATGAATTTATCTGTGTATTTATTTTTATGTATGTATCTATGTAAATATATATGCATTTATTTATTCATTTATTTATTTAGTTGCAAATACATT